ATTTCCATTGATTGGAAACCTGCTTCAACTTGGTGACAAACCGCACAAGTCCCTTGCCAAAACACATGGCCCTTTGATGAGCCTAAAACTAGGCAAAGTAACAGCCATTGTTGTTTCTTCAGCAGCCATGGCCACGGAAGTCCTCCAAACCCATGACCAGTTCTTATCCAACCGAACAATCCCCGATTCGATTCGAGCTCATGATCACCACACTGTTGGCCTACCATGGATTCCAGTTTCAACCCTGTGGAGAAACCTTAGGAAAATATGCAACACTGAACTGTTTGCCAATAAAATGCTTGATTCTAACCAAAACCTCAGGCGCAAGAAAGTGCAGGAGCTCATTGGACAAGTCCACAGAAGCAGCCAAGCTGATGAAGCAGTGGATATTGGGAGGGCAGCCTTCACAACAACACTGAATTTGTTGTCTAACACAATTTTTTCCATTGATTTGGCCGACCCAAGTTCTGAAATGGCCAGGGAGTTCCAGGAGATGGTGTGTAATATTATGATGGAGGCTGGGAAGCCAAATTTGGGAGACTATTTTCCTGTGCTTAGGAAGATTGATCCCCATGGCAGAAGGCGGAGGATGACAGAGTACTTTGGGAAGATATTGGATCTGCTTGACGACATAGTAAACCAAAGGTTGAAGCTGAGAGAATTGCCTGGTTCTACAACAAAAGATGATTTGTTAGATACCCTTCTCAACATTACTGAGGAAAACAGTGAGGTGATCAACAAAAATGAAATCTATCATCTGTTACTGGTCAGTCCCATAATCTTCTTCAAACTGTTTGATATTTTTAGTTTTTTGTTTCTTCTGGTATAAACAATGCTTTGCCCATTAATAAATTCCGAGCACACACAAATACAGATATGTGAAAGTGGTACAGCATATTCAAAAATGCAAATTGCTTACTGTCTCAGTCACTTTGAGGCTTTCAATTGCTTATGATTTTAATGGTTATGTTTGCTGATAGGTTCTATTTGTTGCTGGATCAGACACAACTTCATCCACATTCCAATGGGCAATGGCAGAGCTACTGCACAACCCTGAGGTTTTGTCAAAGGCCCAACTAGAGCTTGAACAAGTAATTGGCAAAGGCAACCCAGTTGAGGAATCAGACATTGCTAGACTGCCTTACCTGCAAGCCATAGTCAAAGAGACCTTCAGGTTGCACCCTGCAGTTCCTTTGTTACTTCCCCGAAAGGCGGGAGCAGATGTAGAAATCAAAGGATTCACAGTACCGAAGGGTGCACAAGTGCTTGTTAACACATGGGCTATTGGCAGAGACCCCAGCCTCTGGGATGAACCCAATTCATTCAAGCCAGAGAGGTTCTTGGGATCAGAAATTGATGTTAAAGGCCGGAACTTTGAGCTTATACCGTTCGGAGCTGGACGAAGAGTATGTCCTGGATTGCCATTGGCAATGAGAATGCTGTACTTAATGTTGGGTACTCTTATCCATTCCTTTGATTGGAAGCTTGAAGATGGGGTCACACCAGAGAACATGAACATGGATGATAAGTTTGGCATCACCTTAGAGATGGCCCAATCCTTGCGAGCTGTCCCTGTCTCTTTGTAAATTGTAAACTTCATGTTTGCATCAGTATTTCATGAAATGTTATTGTTCTGCCAGCTTAATAATATTAATAAATAAATAAATAATTCTCTTCTTTTTTTTTACAAGTAATTCATAACTGTGCTATAAGTCGTGACTTTAACCAAAAACTAAAAGCCACAACCCCACAGTTTTCTTGTTTAGGCAAGATTTCATTCTGCTGGAAGTCACCACCATTCACAGAATATTCACTTATATTAAATACATGATTAGAAATGGCCGGCTTCTTAGCAAGGGAAGGCTCTTTTTGTTGTACAGCCAAATCATTCAAACAGAAAAACTTAGATGGAAAATACAATTTTCAAAGGGCAAATCTGAATTTGTTTAAAGACACTCCAACAAGCTAGCACTATTGGATTGATGAGAAACAACTATAGTAGAACAAGTAATGTTGGGTTTTCTCTCTGTCTGGAAAATGCAACTATGAAATGAAATGCAATGCAAAATTCCCACACTATTTCTTCAGGCCAAAACGTATCAGACCCTTTATGCAGGTGGAACAATCACAACGGAATATAGCACCATTTCAAGGACAAAAACTTGGGAAGGAGTGCCCTGCCACGTTGCAGGTATTGTCCAGTTAAAACATGTCTGGTGTAAAGAACATGAATCATTAAAAAAAAAACTAATAACATATGACATGTTGTTACTAGAGAATTACTAGAAAACTGCTTCCACTTGAATATAAGAGCTAAATGCAGTCTGCTTCAGTAAACTTTTTCTTTTATTCCGACAAATAGAGGAGGTTCGTTGTAAGGAAAAAAGAAATACAGATTGATAGTAAAATGCTATAAGATAGATATTGAGGGTGACAAAACCAACTAGACTAGTACAAGAGATAAAGGGGACTTTCCATGGTTCCATCAGGTTCTAGCAATTCCTTCATTCTAATGGTAATTTGACAGCTATTGGGCTCCTAACTGAATATTGATCAGAAACCCATGTCAGAGATCCCTCAGCATACTGAACAACTAGTGGAGTTTTACCCGATTTTCCTCCACCCTTGCTTCGTCTAAAAGTAACCGCGTATTTTGCCTTCTGATTCACCTCTGAGAATGTAATAAGTTTAGGCTTGATGCTGACACTGATTCCTTGGGGTGGAGCAACCTTTATAGCATATGAAGAATCAGCCTTGCCAACGTCTGTTACCTCTCTTGTATAAGTCTGAGGAGTGAGCCCCAATACAACGGAAAATGAAGGATAATTTAGTTGAGCTTCAGGTATGGGTTTTTCCAAAGAGCAGTTCACCTTGCCTTGCAACAGAACCCCAACATGTCTGTCAGTGTAATTCTTACCACACAAGTAAGGTATGTAATCAAGGGGTTTGATGTCATATACAAGGCCCAGATCATTTGCCTTTGATGGGTTTGGATGGCCTGTGCCAATGGCAAAGACACTGGCTGGCTGGAGTGTTTCATCAGTGCTTGGCTGGCCTTTCTGGTTTACAACCTCAGCTGTAGTCATGATTGCAGACTTAATAGCAGCAGGTGACCAGTCAGGGTGGGAACTCTTTAGCAAAGCTGCAATGCCACTCAGGTGAGGGCATGACATTGAGGTACCTGACATCACATTGAAGTTTGATTTCGAATTCAATTTCCTCTTGTCAGTAGGGAAAGGTGAGGCTGCTAGAATGCTCACTACCAGTCCAATAATGTCAGGCTTCAAAATCCCGGGACATATGGAGCTTGGTCCCCTAGAGGAGAAGGAAGCCGCCATGGGAGCAGATGAGTTTCCAATTACAGTTCCTTTGAATTTGACTGTGGCTATCGGTTTAGAGGTTGTGTTTATATAGTGCTTGATGTTCAGGCATGCAGCATAACTCAAATGGGATGCAGGAAGAACATGAGGGTCAGTGTAGGTAGTAAAGCCTTCCTGTTCTTGGTTCACAAGAAGCGTGGCGGCTCCACCTGCAGCTTTCACTACTTTTCCTTGATCCAGTCTACTTATTTCCATACCTCTCTCACAGAAAACTACTTCTCCTTTCACATTAATATCTTTCAGTGACCCATTGTTACAGTTTTGAGTAAGCATTTGACCATTAATGCCTGGTTGAACCAAAGTATTTGGAGTTTAACCCTTTAGTAGAATTAGGCTGAAAAATTGACTCCCCATCAAATTCATCCCCATTTCCAAGTCTAGCTGTTGCTATTATGCTTCTATCAATGGTGCTTGCTCCTACAGTGAGAATCCAAGGAGCAGCATTATATACACTATTGGAGGATGGGCCAGAATTCCCAGCCGAACAAACCACAAAAATTCCTCTTCACATTGCACTGAAAGCAGCCAATGCAATACTGTCTTCAAACAGTTGACCGAAATTTAGAGAGGTCATGGAGATGGAAATCACATCGACACCATCCTCGACTGCAGCATCAAACCCTGCAAGGACATCAGTACTTGAACATTCATAAAGAGAGCAGACCTGGTAAGTTGCCAAGTGAGCATGAGGCGCTACGCCAGAAGCCGTGCCATTGGCATTGTTATATAGATTGGCACCTCTCACAAAATTCCCAGCAGCCGTGCTAGCAGTATGAGTGCCATGGCCTATCTCATCAACTGGTTGAGCACTAGAGAAGTCTGTAAAAGGTTGTCATAGACTTGGAAACTTCTTGCACCAATGATCTTGTTGTTGCAGACGAATGTGTGATTAGCTGTCTGGTTGAAGTCACACCTGCCTTTCCATCTATCTGGTGGAGGAGGCAATCCTTCGTCCCGAAACGAAGGATGATCTGGTAACCCGCAGGTGTCCATAACACCAATAATTACACCCTTGCCGAAATTTGATTCTTTCCAGAACCCCTTCTCCGGGTGCAGGCCCAGAAATCCAGGACTATGAGTTGTTTGCAAAAAAAAATTTCGTCTCGTTATGAATAGAAAGAACCTCTTCTTTCTTCTCCATGGCTTTCACTTCCTCTGCTGTCAGTCTTGCTGCAAACCCAGTAACCACATGCCGGTATGAGTAAAGCAACCGTTGCTGCTGGTGCTCGGTGCTTGCAGTGGTGACAGGCAAAAGTGACTGATACCACCTGTGCAAACTTTCTGATTGCATAGAATGCAGACCCTCTGGCTTGTGGGCATAGACAATGTTTGTCTGGAGGTTGTTTTGGCTCAGTGAAGCAACTTCTCCTTCTTGAGCTAAAGAGACATGAAACATGAAAGCTATGGTAAAAAGCAACGTGAACTTCATAATTGGCAACACTCCACACATATTGTTCTTCTTTTCACTCAGTATTGCTTGAAGGTTTGAAGAATTACCATTGCAAACCTCATGCCTGTATATAGTAGAGAGGGCTTTCATTGTCTGCAGTTTGGACTTGTAAAACAGGCTGGCAAGGTTTACATTGTTTAAAGTTGAATGAATAAAGTTTTGATGCTTCAAGAGACAGGTTTTGGGATTATTAATTGTAGATGAATGGTTTATTTGTCGATTTGTTTCGGCATGTAGTTTATTTATAGATTTCGGTCCATGGATTAATATGGCCTGCTTAATCACAGTTTTAGTTTATTCATTAGTTTTCTATTTCTTAAAAATACTGCATTCTCTTCACGTACCCCTTCAAATGCTCAAATCTATTACAGTGGTTTCTATTGGACCATACCTTCTGCTCTTCTAAGGAACAATACCTTTTCATTTCTCCCAAGGTTTAAGGTCAAATCCTTGCCAATTCATTGAAGGAAGTTCTTATGAGAGTGATGGTTTTTGCCAAAAGCACCATGCAAACTTATAGTAATTAGCTCAAAGTTTTGACTTCAGCCAAAAGTTACTGTTCTACATTCCAAGTGATGAACAATCCACCACTCAGTACTTCTAAATTAACCATTGGGGGAATTACTAGAAGGGTTTTGGAGGTGGAGGAAGATGAGCGGTCCGGAGAACAATCATAGCAATGAAAAATCATGGTAGAATAGCAGAATTGGTGGTTTTTAATAAACTAATCCTCAGAAAAAGCAAAAAAAAAATAATAATAATAAAATTGTTTTGGCCAAATCTTCACTCTGAGAGGAACAAACTTGTAAAAGAAATTTTTTTCTTGAAGGGTTGATCACTAACTTGAACCATTTGTGCATCATGCTCCCCATTAATAAGCACCCCAAAAGAAAGAAGCTCAAACATATAAATTTGAAAAAGCAAGAAACCCCATCAAAATTAAAATCTGAATCAACATGAAGGCAATATAAAAAATTTATTCAAAAAGAACATTGCACCTTAAAATTTCTGAAAACAGTGTCCTCCCCCACTGCAGCAATCTTGTGCCTTTGCCCTCGATGCTTCAACTTTCAAGCAGATTATAATCATTGGAAAATAGTTACCAATGAGGGGAAAATGCTGGAATTACCACTGACTCAGAGTAGAGTAGTAATTAACGAAAGAGTACAATACAATGAAACCCAGAAAAAGTTTTCTCTTCAGGCGGTCCAAGGTTTCAATTTTCAAACAATGAAGGTAAAAATGGCCTGGAAATGATTAAAGCACTTGCGGTAAATGCTTTATTATTAGTAAAATAATTGTGATGACATTGACAACAGGGTTTCGTGGTGTAGTTGGTTATCACGTCAGTCTAACACACTGAAGGTCTCCGGTTCGAACCCGGGCGAAGCCATTGTACAATTTTTTTTAAATTTCTGTCCATTTCTCAAGCTGGAGTCTAGAATTTTTATTTTTATTTTTTTAAATGCAATAATGTGAGATGCATATCGTACCAACTAAAGAAGAAAGCAGAGCAAATAAACAAGGGATTTCACAAGAGTTTTTGACTGGAAACCAAAGAGTGAAGCAGGAAGATTGTTTGAGAAGCTTGAGACCAAGTTGATCAGGTCTGAAATTTATTTGAGAGGGAGATTGTCCATGTTTACGTCTTCATTTTTTGATGATATAGTGCCCTTTACTAGCCAAATGACATCAAGAGAAATAGCTTAGGTGCTAGGGAACAACAACCTTCCATCTTTTCTTGCTCAAATTAAGCAGCCACATATTGGCTTTGAAAATATGAAAATAAGCTAAATATACCAAACAATTTAAGCAGGATTTGATCTTGCTTTGGACGTAAATTATGAGTAGCATTTAATGCACCTCACCTAATCCTACTTAGCAAGTTACCCACGTGAGAAATGGATGCAAAGGCTGTTTCTAATATGGACTTTGTAACCATGTTTTGGTTATTAGAGCATCTTCAACAGAGTTTTCTTGAGAGAGAGAGAGAGAGAGAGATTCGGGATGTTGATGAGATTGGTTTTCTACTTTTCCTTTTAATATATTTGAATTACAAGAGAGAAAAAGAGAGAAAAATAATAAAATGTTGGAGGAAACACCTATTAAGTAGTTTGTTATGATGACTTTTTAATTTTTATTATTATAGAATTTAGCTAAAATTTGGAGACTCTCATGGAGATGCTCTTAGCTACTCCGCAGCTGCAACCTAATTCCTTCCTTTTGGATTGAAAAAGTTATTGTCCAAATTATTTTGTTCCTTTTTAAAGCCATTGAATTGACCTAAGTCAATTTTGGTTCAAACAAATTTGTTTAGTTTGGATTCTAGGAAAAGCATGGATCCAGAGCCATGGGTAGGAGGAGGACATAAATGGAGGTATAGCAAAAGAAGCTCTTGTTGAACCATCCCGATAAATATGGTTTTTTATTTTATTTTATGGAGGCCAAAATGGTCTTCCCATTGCATATTTTGGAGCAAGGATATTGAGGTTGCTTGGTAGCGGTCCTGTAAAAATGTTTGGTGAAGGAATGCATGCGCCACCATCATAGATTTTACTCTTTGCTTTAAAACTACACATGTTGCTTGCTTAATTAAAACTACACATGTGGTATTTAGTTTCTCTATTTTATTTCAGAGTTATTTACACTAATACCCCTTTGAGGTTTTTGATGCTTTCACAAAACTCTTTTAAGTTTCAGAAATTACACGAACACCTCCTGAGATTTCAAATTGTCTTCACAAAACCACTTTTCATTGATTGTTCATCCAAAACTTGATGATTTTACAAATAAAAACTTATGCAAATGACAAAATTAACCTCAATGAATGTGTGTGCAAGCTAATCTCAAAGGCTAACTTTGTCATTTGGAGAAATGTCATCAATCTTTGGACGGAAAACCAATGAAAATGGGTTTTGTGAAAACAATTTGAAACCTCAGGGGGTGTTCGTGTAATTTCTGTAACCTCGAGGGATTTGTGAAAATACAGAAAACCTCAAGGGATGTTAGTGTAAATAACTCTTTATTTTATGGCTTTCCACAAATAAGCTCATTCTAACATGACATATTATACAAAAACCCATAGAGTCTATTTGGAGGGAAAAAATCAAAATTAGCCACTTATCATTTTCTAATTGGTTCTTATACTATGGATAATTCTTATAAGTTATTCAGATAACAAGATAAGATAAATATATTATTTAGTAATGGGAAAAGAAGGGTAATATTGACTTATCTGAATTCCTATCCCAGGAACACTACAATGGCAGCATGTGAAAAAAGGCGGGTTTTAGAAATTAATTAATTTCCTTCCATATTCAAAGTAAGATATATTATTTCATACTTTTTGGTTAATTTTTTCTATCTAGACATAATTTCAAGATAAGTAACCTTGATAAATAGTTCTATTATAGAAAACGTATCGTCGTAATTACATCATATAAAATACATAGGGAGAAAAAATAGGTACGTCAATTAGGTGCAATACTCATAAAACTGCATCCACCCAAAACAAATGGTAATTTTCGCGTCTCTCGAAAGGAGAGGTAGAGTTAGGGTTTCCTATAGGGAGGTTGGACTTGCGACGATGGCTATACTGAGAGGGTTTCTGCTATTTTCCCATTGTTTCTTGCCACAATGACTTGTTTTGCTCCGTGCTAACTGTCGAGGGTGAATTCTTACGTAGGGTGGAAGGTTACGGTGAGATTGCCTGTGACATACATTTTCTGCTTGTGGGGTTTTGGACATGGAGGAGGTTGAAAAACAGTTTGGGGTGAATCTGTTTTTGTCAAAGAAAGAACGTATGAGTCTAATCTTTGAGGAAGAGGATATTGGAGATTTATGGAAAGGTTCTTAGTTCACGTTGGTGGATAGGGTTGTGACTCACAAGTCTATTAATTGGGAGGCGTTTGAGAGTGTTTTCATGAGACTGTGGCGAGGCAACTACGGGGTATCTATAAAGGAGATCGGGGAGCGTCGCTTTTTGGTGAGATTTGCCAATCAGAATGATAAGCAGAGGATTTTAGATATGGAACCATGGACTTTTCGGGATGGATTGGTTCTGCTAGCGGAAGTTCGTACTGGAGCCGACGCGAGGACGGTGCTTGTGGATATGGGTGTTTTTTGGGTCCAACTACATGATATTTCTCCTTTAAATATGATCATGATGGCGGCTAAGAAAGTGGGGGCCCTGATAGGCCAGGTTTTGGAGGTGGACTAGGCTAATGATGTAGATTGCATAGGCAGATTTTTGAGGGTTCATATCAGGTTTGACGTGGGAGAGCCATTGATGCGGGGAACCTTCGTGGTGTTTCCAGGGGAGGGCTCTCGGTGGATTGACTTTAAGTACGAATTCCTCCCAAAGTACTATTTTGTCCGTGGCTGTCTTGGCCACCCTAGCCGCATATGTTTGGAACAACGAACAGAGGAGTCTGGAAGCAGTAATGTGTGATCTGGAAGTGTTGAAATGAGTTGGTTTTCAATGGGGTGATGGTACATCCCTATGATGTGGTGGCCTTGCTATTGAAACAGGTGGGAGAATTCAATTAGGTGCATGTGGAAAAGCATACACAAATGCAGGAGCAGAGTGATCCTTCTGATCCTGTTTGGACTAGCCCTCCCCCAAGTTTGGTCAAACTCAATTGCGATGGGGATTGGGAGGCTCAAACAGGAAGAGGGGGTGGGGTGGGTGCTCTGAGATGGCATAGGCTGCTTCATAAGTGTGGGAGGCTATGGGGAATTGTGATGTGTCTCTACGTTAATGGTGGAGGCAGAGGTGATACGGGAAGCTTTAACCCGGTGTTTGGAGTTTGGAGTTTGGGTTTGACAAGGTGGCGGTGGAATCAGACTCACTTAGTTTGATCAAAATGCTCAATCAGGAGGTTGCTATGGATTTGGAGATTGAAGGAATTCTATTTGATATTCAGTGCTTGACTCAACATTTTTATCAAGTGGAGTTTATGTATGCTCTGAGAAAATGTAACCAAGCTTCCCATTTAGTGGCAGCTTATGCTTTTTGTAGTGGTGGCATGCTTAGTTGCGATATTGTTTGTCCTAAATGGCTGTTTAATTGCCTAGCCCAAGATGTAAACTGCTCTATTTGTATTTAATATATCTTCCTATCTTTGTTATTAAAAAAAAAAAATACAAAAGGAGAAAATATTCACACACCAACGACAGGTCGCTATGTGAACTTAAAGATGTCCATATGGACACAATTGCCCCTAATCAAATATTCCATCATGATAGTGATGTACCAAGGATCTCAAACAATCAAATCGAGTAATTATTCCACACTCTTAAGTTAAACGGCTATCTTGCACAATCAAATTGAGTATTATCCCCGTTCCCAAGTCAAACACTAATTTTACACCAATTACATACCAAAATTATAGAGTTTCAATATAAAAACAGCAAAGAGAAACTAGTATTCACCATTCCGAAAAAATCTCATATGTTTATTGACTGGATAATGTCTGATGATTTTTCTGAATTGCTAAGATTTTGAAAGATATTATCTACTCGGAATAACCAATATCATGGAGGAATCAATAAATGCATTGTGATTGGCTGGTAATATTCAAACAGCAGTCGTCTGCTCCGATGCACGTGTTCTCCCACGCAGTAACTGTTGTTGACTGTGAAGCGTCTAAGATTTACCGCTAACAAACAGCGTCTTTACTCTCCTTTCCCCTTTTTTTTTTAGCCATATATATAGTTAAAAAATAGAGAAAGTAAAATAGCGGTCAGAGCCGAGTCACCCGCGACCAGAAAATCACATTACACCATTCACAACACCGACACTCCAAACACAAGGAATTTTCCTATAAATCTAATACCTCATCCTAATCCGACGGCCCCAACCCCACCCTCTTCCCCCCAAATCTGAATGCCCACCGTCTGATCCCATCCCCACACACAAAAACAAAAGTAACCAAAACCCCACCCTCTTAGATCTAAGCCAGAGAGAGAGCGCGAGAGTCTGTCTCCGACTGTTGGGCTCTTCAAAATTTTTAATTCCCATTTTGCTCTCGATGGTGGAGGCACAGACATGGACGACGCGTCGTATGAGCAACCCCCGGCTGCAGGACACGACGTCGTCGCCGGACCAGGTCGTGGACATCCCAGCCACGCCTACTGGCGACGTCCGCAATGGCACAAGCTACGGGTTCTCCTCCGCCGTCGGATCGCTGCTCTCCCCGACGCTGTCTACGGCGGCGATCATCGCCTCCTGGTACCTCTCCAACATCGGCGTCCTCCTCCTGAACAAGTACCTCCTCAGCTTCTACGGCTTCCGCTACCCCATCTTCCTCACCATGCTCCACATGATCTCCTGCGCCGCCTACAGCTACGTCGCCATCCACCTCCTCGAGCTCGTTCCACGTCAGCACATCCTCTCCCGCCGCCAGTTCTTCAAGATCCTCGCCCTCAGCGCCATCTTCTGCTTCTCCGTCGTCTGCGGCAACACCTCACTCCGCTATCTCCCCGTCTCCTTCAACCAGGCCATCGGCGCAACGACGCCTTTCTTCACCGCCATCTTCGCCTTCATCATCACCTGCAAGAAAGAGTCCGCCGAGGTCTACGGCGCCCTCCTCCCCGTCGTCTTCGGGATCGTGGTCGCCAGCAACAGCGAGCCGCTATTCCACCTCTTCGGCTTTTTAGTCTGTGTGGGGTCCACCGCCGGACGAGCTTTGAAATCCGTCGTTCAGGGAATCCTGCTCACCTCCGAAGCTGAGAAGCTCCACTCGATGAACTTGCTTCTGTACATGGCTCCAATGGCGGCCTGCATTCTGCTGCCCTTCACTCTGTACATCGAGGGCAACGTGGCGGCGGCGACGGTGGAGAAGGCCCGGAGCGACCCTTTCATTGTTTTCTTGCTGGTCGGGAATGCCACGGTGGCTTACTTGGTCAACTTGACCAACTTCTTGGTGACCAAGCACACCAGTGCATTGACTCTGCAGGTGCTTGGCAACGCCAAAGCGGCGGTGGCGGCCGTCGTTTCGGTGTTGATATTCCGGAACCCAGTCACGGTCATGGGCATGACCGGGTTCGCGGTGACCATCATGGGGGTGGTGCTTTACAGCGAGGCCAAGAAAAGGTCCAAAGTTACAACTCATTGACAGAGACAGAGAATAAAGATTGAAATTGAAACCACAAAAAAGAAAAAAAAATGATCATTCATTTTGACTGCCTCAAGATTCGGGTACGAATTTGTTTTGTGTTTTAGTTAATTAATTGTTTTGATTTTTATGGCATGGTAAGGGAGAGGGTGAAGTGGAATTGGAACTGGAGTGTATAGGATGGTGGGGAAAGAGGGAAATTGGAAAAGGTTGAGCTCTTTTTTTCTGCTCTTTTGAGGTTTAATTGTTGTTGATAGAGGGGGGTGGGTGGTAGAAGAGAATATGTAAGTTTTTCTCTTTCGCTTGACCCTGTGTGTAACTTTATATGATATGCTCTGCATTTTGAATTGAAAACATACAAGTATTTTATGGGGAGGAAAAATTCCTCTTCCAGATTCAATTTGTTAAAAAACATGTTCTCTGTTCCTTTGGCCCTCTTTCAATGTGCAAGTTTTGCTAATTTCTTTTGTACTTTGCAAGTATGTTTTCGTGTTTCCGGCATTGTTTAGCTTGTTTGTTTTGCATTCAGTGTTTCGTTATGGTTATGCAACTATTCGGACTTTAGGTTTAGAAGGAACAATTCTAGACAAAGCATAAGAATAGAGTTTATCCGGGTGTATGTAAGATGGTTAATTACGTATTAAGATCGTAATTATGTGGAATCGAACTTCAAGAAATAGCTTTTTGACAATCTGATAACATAACATGTCAGATATAGGCATGATATGTTAGAATCTTGTAGCTGTTGCACGTTGTTCACCCAAATTTTCCTTTTCATCTGATGCTAACAATTATTTAGAATCTAGGTTTAATTTTCTTTAAATCATTGCAACAATATTGCTTTGCTGATGATATCGCAATTAGCATCGACCTATCAGAATATATTTCTCTTTTGTTTCTTCTCATGTGTATTGGCTTATTAGGAAAACCAATGAGAACAGGAAGACGGTTAGTTAGATCACAAAACACCCAGTTGGTTTCGTGTCTAGATTTAGTTTCCTTGTTTGACTTATTGCTACTCTGGCGAAGGATTTTGAGTTTGACTTGGAGATCATATTTCTATCACTTAAGAAGATGTCAGTAAGTGATTGAGTTTACATTAAACTTAGTCTGACTCTATTTTAATGTAGTTCAAAGGTTATTTTTGGTTGAACTCAGCAACATAGGAGGTAAAATCCTGAGTTTCTGTCATGGAAAGTCAGGAAGATAGAGATTTCATGTAGTTTCCTACAAGTTTTCCTCTTTGAGATGTGGAAATTAGATACCCTGCTAGGCAGTTGTTGATGGATAAATCTATCCTGTCTGTACCATTAGCAGCCACACCTTAACCTGGCCCATCATTCAATTCCTAGAAACTCCATCTAGTTGGGAATATGCTTGCCTATTTGATTTGCCGCGTGGCAACAATCCATATGCTCCATATGGTCTAGTTGCTTGTTCTGGATGAGGATGGCAAAACATTGGTTTGAAGTGTCATGTTGTCGGTGACAATGGTGATGTGGTTATGTTTTATCCCCTGGTTTGGCATTTACTGGGAAGCAGCCTATCAGCATCAAGGAGAGGTGAGACATGAAGACATGCAATCTAATTGCACTGGACTACTCTCTCTAGGTGCACCTGGTGGTTGAAACTTTCTTGTTTGGTGCAGCTATTTTCAATTTATTGTTCTTGCGAAAGATGATGATGGGTTTTAATTCTTTTGACTGAAATGTGCTTCGATTGCGATTAGATGCAAATATTACATGATGTGGAGAACAATTCATCCAACGTTTGTAGCATCACAAACAGATTGCAAAACTCACACTTATTAATAACTGGAAAATGAATTACCCAAACACAGTGTTACTGAAAAACAGTTACGACGCTAGGATTAGCGGCCCCAAGCTTAACGCAGATCACCCATGTATTGCTCCAAGTTGACACTTCTAGTTGGTGTAGCCCCAGGTGGGGGCTTTGAGCATCCCAGGAAGGTCTGCTTTTTTACCAGGTGGGACTGGGGGCAGGAGCAGACCATGAAGGGTTGCTGTTTTCCCAGGTGGGGCTGGGGCTCGGAGCAAACGACGATGGAAACACAGTTATAAGAAGCTTCTGGCCACCCATTGCACAGTGCTGGGCAACACCACAAATGTACCATTTTCTTCCAGGGGTTGCAAGGGTGATCACATCATGTCCACTGGTTAATGGCACACTGTCTAATGGAGCTGAACATTGCTGGAAATCAGTCCCATTCACTTTGAACACATTGTGGACTCCTTTTGGATAGTTAAAAACTGCACAAGAACAAAGACCACAGAAATATTGGATGAGTTCCCAGAACACTATTCTAAAAAAGAAAACGAAATCAAATGAGCTTAATTTTTTTAAAAAAAAAATTTACCAAGGTTGTCGCCAACATAGAACATCTTCCCCCGTGCCCAAGCTAGGTAGTCGAAGTTAATGGTCCACCCTTTGCCATCGCCGACAACATAATTTGTTGCCAAAATTGAAGGGGCCGAAATTGCTAGAATGGCAAAGATGATGAAGAGCTGGGAAGAGGCCATCACAACTAGACCTAGTTATGTTTTTTTTTCTTTCTTTCTATGAAGGCGGTTGTTTTGATTTGGTTGGTAAAATGAGTTGAAAAAGGTGAGAAATTTATAGGGTTTTGGTAGTCTTAGTGTAGCATTGGGTGTGCCACTGCCAACGGACGGCATTGCCTGCTGCCGAATGATACGAATGGATTTGATAGTTAAGTTACAAGATAATAAACAAACGATGCATACCCTTTTAGAATTAGAACATCAATTTTCTTGGAGCTATTCAAAAAAATTGGATTCTTTGTGTGACCAGTAAACTTCCACGAATTTACACGTGGCCTACCATATCAATTTCTGAAATTGCCCGACAAAAACAAAAAAAAAAAGAAAACAAAAAAGCCTTTTTCTAAGAGGGATAATACCGAAAAAAGCATCCAAGAAATCAAAACCAAATTATAAATTATAAATAGTGTGGGGTCACTCAGGTTGTTGGGAGTTGAGGATTTAGGGTTCAAAAAAATTTACTTTAAAATATCTATTTTCTTTTACTTTTTAAATTTAACTTAACAAAAAAAAAAAAAGGTTTTAAAATTAAAAAAAAAGGCAGCCACAGTAAAACACATTCGAAGCCCCAAAAATCTCTCAACGTGTTTTGCTTCCTCCATCACTGACGTCGTGTTCTGCTTCCTCTTCCTCCCATCGTTGCCGCCACAGCACCTCCGAATCCGTCGTCGCGAGCGAAAATCCGGAGCCACCCATTCCCTTGCACTTCAACAAGGTCAGTTTCTTTGTACTCAATTTTCTGATTTGAAATCCTTGAATTTCATGGTGAAGCTCATGAAAAAACAGGCCCAACCCACATGCCTATCAGCCCGTTTACCACCACCCAGGTCCATTCGTATCCAATACGGTTCTAATACGGTCAAGATACGGATAGGGGCTATTTTGAAATTATTTGGAAATATTTGCACTCGTTTTGAAAATTACAGAACATTTGGGGTCAAAGTATGGATTTCAAAACTTGATTTAATCATACCCAGCCTCGTCTTCTCGACAGAGCCTAGGTTTTTCACTGTAAAAGAAACGGCGGCAAAAGCACCAGAAGGAAGAAGTAGAAAGCCACCATAACTCTAAATACTGCATCTGCTCCACTTGTAACAAATACGGCGGTCTCTTCTTCTCGACTGCGTCTGCAGCTCCACGAGGTTTTCATAGTGAAGGGGGGCAAGAGACAATGAAGCTGGACGTGAACATGTTGAGATACCTCTCAAAAGAGGATTTTAGGGTTCTAACTGCTGTGGAAATGGGAATGAGAAATGTAAAAGCCTCTGCTGCTCTTTTGTTTTTGAAATGCAATAAATTTCTCAGCATAGCTTAGCTTTAGTATGTATCTACTTAAATTTAAAGCTTTTCCCTTTTATTTTCTTGCAGCATGAAATTGTACCCTGTGAGCTGGTGGAGCGCATAGCTTCGCTCAAGTATGTATATAGTTTTGAATTTTTTTGGTTGCTGAATTTGAAAATGCCCATCTTTTTCTGTAATTCTGATATGATCCTCCAATTTACAGGCATGGAGGAACTTATAAAGTTCTGAAGAATCTGCTCAAGCATAAGCTCTTGCATCATGACTCTTCTAAATGTAAGACAGCTGTTGTGATTCTAACAATCAATAATATTTGTTTTGAATTTTCTCTTATGTTCTTTGCTGTTATGTGAATATAGATGATGGGTTTCGGCTCACCTACCTTGGTTATGATTTTCTTGCAATCAAAACTTTGGTCAACCGTGGAGTCTTTGTGTCCGTTGGTCGACAAATTGGTGTAGGGAAAGAGTCTGGTATGTTAGTTTCCTTTTTGTTTTATATAACACATGCTTGTGCCTACCAATCCTATTATTATCCATTGTCATTATTCTTCATAGAAGTTCTTTTTTGTTTTTAAATAGATATCTTTGAGGTGGCCACGGAAGATGGTACCGTGATGGCAATGAAGTTACACAGGCTTGGTAGAGTTTCTTTCAGAGCTGTTAAATCGAAGCGTGATTACTTAAAACATCGTAGCAGTTTTAGTTGGCTCTACTTGTCCCGCCTTGCAGCACTCAAAGAATTTGCTTTTATGAAGGTTTGCCTCTAGCTTTTGGCATTTTTATCTTTGTGTGTTGCCGTATTGTGTTTATCATGTTGATTTTGTCTTTACCCTTTCCTTCTCCTTGGGCAGGCCTTAGAGGAGCATGGTTTTCCTGTTCCTAATGCTGTGGATTGTAACAGGCATTGTGTCATTATGTCATTAGTACAAGGCTACCCATTGTAAGCTTCTTCTTCACAAAATTACTGTTTGAAATAATTGAATAAGAAACCCTGGAAATGGCATGTTACGGAATGATTTTAGCAGCTATAATGCCTTCCTTGTGCATTTCTTTTGGAGCTGACATGCTTAAGAAAAAGAAGATTAGAAATAAATAGATGATCATGCTGCTTCATGGAGCTATGGAATTCACTTCTGTCCAATGCAGTGTGCAGGTGAAGCAATTGCAAAATCCAGAGGTGGTTTTTGAAACAATCATTGGACTTGTTGTTCGCCTCGCCGAACATGGTTTAATTCACTGTGACTTCAATGAATTTAACATCATGGTAAGCATTTCAGGCAGTCTGATATTACATCTTTCCAACTTCCAAATTGCATTATGTTTCATAATCTTGTCATTATGTTTTCCTCTGCTCTCACTTGGTACAGTTTTTCTATATGATTGTATTAATATTTCAGTTAACATATGCGCTTCAAATGCCTTGTTAGCTTGCTCTTTCAACTCATTGGTAAACTTGTATTTATTTTTCAATTTCGGTTCTTTTAGATTGATGACGACGAGAGGGTCACCATGATTGATTTTCCACAAATGGTATCTGTATCACATCATAATGCACAGATGTAAGAACTGCTTCTTAAAAATGTCAGCCATTTTTCCGTTCTGTTTATTGTAACGTCTGATTGCTGAAGTGATTTGATTTGTTTTCTGTGCCGAAAATTTTGTTAATCAAATATCATATTCTCATTTTTATGACGTTTCCATGTTTCAGGTACTTTGACCGTGATGTTGAATGTGTATTTAAGTTTTTCAAAAAGAGGTTAGCGTTCTTTTTTCGTATCAACTAGTATTAATCTTTAATTCATCAGCAATCGCTTTTCACTTTCTGAATGCTTATAACATTCAAGGCTCACAAACCTTGGTTGATGGAATGCATACATATGATATTTGTCACCATCTTATTAATAATATACAGTATGATATTTTAGCTTAGCTTTAGTATGTATCTACTTAAATTTAAAGCTTTTCCCTTTTATTTTCTTGCAGCATGAAATTGTACCCTGTGAGCTGGTGGAGCGCATAGCTTCGCTCAAGTATGTATATAGTTTTGAATTTTTTTGGTTGCTGAATTTGAAAATGCCCATCTTTTTCTGTAATTCTGATATGATCCTCCAATTTACAGGCATGGAGGAACTTATAAAGTTCTGAAGAATCTGCTCAAGCATAAGCTCTTGCATCATGACTCTTCTAAATGTAAGACAGCTGTTGTGATTCTAACAATCAATAATATTTGTTTTGAATTTTCTCTTATGTTCTTTGCTGTTATGTGAATATAGATGATGGGTTTCGGCTCACCTACCTTGGTTATGATTTTCTTGCAATCAAAACTTTGGTCAACCGTGGAGTCTTTGTGTCCGTTGGTCGACAAATTGGTGTAGGGAAAGAGTCTGGTATGTTAGTTTCCTTTTTGTTTTATATAACACATGCTTGTGCCTACCAATCCTATTATTATCCATTGTCATTATTCTTCATAGAAGTTCTTTTTTGTTTTTAAATAGATATCTTTGAGGTGGCCACGGAAGATGGTACCGTGATGGCAATGAAGTTACACAGGCTTGGTAGAGTTTCTTTCAGAGCTGTTAAATCGAAGCGTGATTACTTAAAACATCGTAGCAGTTTTAGTTGGCTCTACTTGTCCCGCCTTGCAGCACTCAAAGAATTTGCTTTTATGAAGGTTTGCCTCTAGCTTTTGGCATTTTTATCTTTGTGTGTTGCCGTATTGTGTTTATCATGTTGATTTTGTCTTTACCCTTTCCTTCTCCTTGGGCAGGCCTTAGAGGAGCATGGTTTTCCTGTTCCTAATGCTGTGGATTGTAACAGGCATTGTGTCATTATGTCATTAGTACAAGGCTACCCATTGTAAGCTTCTTCTTCACAAAATTACTGTTTGAAATAATTGAATAAGAAACCCTGGAAATGGCATGTTACGGAATGATTTTAGCAGCTATAATGCCTTCCTTGTGCATTTCTTTTGGAGCTGACATGCTTAAGAAAAAGAAGATTAGAAATAAATAGATGATCATGCTGCTTCATGGAGCTATGGAATTCACTTCTGTCCAATGCAGTGTGCAGGTGAAGCAATTGCAAAATCCAGAGGTGGTTTTTGAAACAATCATTGGACTTGTTGTTCGCCTCGCCGAACATGGTTTAATTCACTGTGACTTCAATGAATTTAACATCATGGTAAGCATTTCAGGCAGTCTGATATTACATCTTTCCAACTTCCAAATTGCATTATGTTTCATAATCTTGTCATTATGTTTTCCTCTGCTCTCACTTGGTACAGTTTTTCTATATGATTGTATTAATATTTCAGTTAACATATGCGCTTCAAATGCCTTGTTAGCTTGCTCTTTCAACTCATTGGTAAACTTGTATTTATTTTTCAATTTCGGTTCTTTTAGATTGATGACGACGAGAGGGTCACCATGATTGATTTTCCACAAATGGTATCTGTATCACATCATAATGCACAGATGTAAGAACTGCTTCTTAAAAATGTCAGCCATTTTTCCGTTCTGTTTATTGTAACGTCTGATTGCTGAAGTGATTTGATTTGTTTTCTGTCCCGAAAATTTTGTTAATCAAATATCATATTCTCATTTTTATGACGTTTCCATGTTTCAGGTACTTTGACCGTGATGTTGAATGTGTATTTAAGTTTTTCAAAAAGAGGTTAGCGTTCTTTTTTCGTATCAACTAGTATTAATCTTTAATTCATCAGCAATCGCTTTTCACTTTCTGAATGCTTATAACATTCAAGGCTCACAAACCTTGGTTGATGGAATGCATACATATGATATTTGTCACCATCTTATTAATAATATACAGTATGATATTTGTCACCATCTTCTTAATAATATACAGTGAATATAAAACAATACATTGAAGAATACTATGCACTGAATTGTGAAATATTTAGTAAATGTTGAAAAACTAATTAAGCCTATATTTATTATCTCTTATTTCATCATTTTTTATTTTTAGATAATTAGTATATGGCTTTGGCTTCTTACTTTTTCATTTATCCTTTATAACTCCTGAGTTTGGGTATTGTGCCTGGGGAATGACCCTCTCTTTCTCTCAGGTTCAACATGTCTTTTCAAGAATGCACAGATGATATTGATGGAACAGAGGTAGATACAGATTCAAGTGGTAGGCCTTGTTTTTCTTCAATAGCCAAGGATGCTGTTTTTCTGGACAAGGAACTTGCTGCTAGTGGGTTTACTAAGAAGGATCAGGAAGTCGTTGAGAAGGTATTATATTGTCGTGAAGCATGGTAGATTCAATTGCCACATCCTCCATGTGTCTTTGTGGAGCCATATCCATATAGTTCTATCATTGAATAGCGTAGCCTGTTGGGTATCCTTTATATCTCCTGTTGCTTAAAACACACACCATATTAGATTTTTTTTTAAACTTTTGCATGGAATATGTTCCCTCCTTTTGGAAAAATATTTCATTTGGATATTGAGAGTATACTCCACTGTTTGTGATCAATTTCATTTAACGAAAAATGCTTTTTTTGTTTGCTTGTCATATAATAGACATCTATGACTATAATAATGTTCTTCAATATCTCATTGTCGCATGCAGTTCATTGAAGGAGGTCTGGAGAAGGATGCTAGTTCTGATGATGAAGGTACTGGAGATGGCACACACATCTCTGAGGAGGATGCTAGTTCTGATGATGAAGATTTCGAAGATGCCACACACATCTCTGTGTTAAATGAAGCGAACATAAAGGGTGTTGATTCATTGCATTTGCTAGATCAGGTACATTTTGCACTTGCTATTGACGTCATCAAGAAATGGAACTCATCTGAGTCACAATCTGAGTACAAAATGAAGATTAGTGAAATCATAACTGACGATATATTTGCCGAGTAAAAAAGAAGCATGTTGTGTTTGTATAATAAGAACAAATTGGGCTGTAATAAAAAAATGTCTTTGACTCGTACAATTTGGGTGATTATGTTCTTAATCCGGCTTAATCATATTGTATGTGTCTATAGCATATGCATTCTTGCATCATACATTGTAACTTGGTACTTACATTTTGTTGTAATTCATCAGGGTCAGACTTTAAATTCAAAGCATGAAGAGGAAGGAGTAGGGAACAATCTAAGAAACTGTGAAGTAGGTCCAAGCAGTAAACCTGAATCTCAAGATGTGAGTGACAAGGTAGGTTTTGAAATTGTGTTTATATTGTGCTTCCGACACGGACTTGAAGTTAGGATTTATCTAGGCCTTGGAGTTGCTGTCAATTGTTTAGAACCTTAAGGGTAAAGAGCTTGTGGATCCATAATGCAGCTCTAATAGCAGTTGTCTTCCCTTTTGGTACTGGGGTTAGATGTGGAGTGGTCTGTAGCTAGATACTTTATCCTTTGTTTGACTCCCCTCCCTGGTGCTGTCATTCGACATGAGCACTATAACAAAATGGAAGCCCTTATAGTAGTTTTGTTTCCACAGGAGGGAGATGATGAGGCTGCAAATGACGATGATGCTGAGCTGGAAAAGCGCTTGAGCAAGGTGAGACGACGTGCCGTAACAGCAGCTCGCGGAAGACGGAAGAATCTTGCCTCCAGAAATACCTACAAAGACAAGGGCGGTAGATCCTCTCAGAGTTCCAAAGTCCAGAGCCAATTAGGCAGCTGGTAGAATATGTGAAGTCCCACCGCAAAAACCAAGATGTTTCCATAAACAATTGGAGTTGGTTGCATACCAAAGAGAGGCTGGTAGCATCACATGAAATTTTGTTCTCTTAGTACAGTGGTACCCAAGGTCCAAAATAATAACATTATGAAATCCTTGTTATAGCGGCTATGGCGCGCGTCTATTCATGTAAAGTACAATGTGAAATCTTTCTTTGGTTTTAGTTGTCTTCACAATTTCTCAATTAAAGTGACATCTAATTATAAAATTTTGCCCTCTATAATGTGAGTTTTATTAGATCGGTTTTTATTGCAGACGTTTAGTTTTTGAATTATATTGTGACTCAACTCGGAGATGTATACACTAATTAGTAATACTTTTATATCAATTGTTGATTGATGATGGACAAAGACATCTATCTTTTTGTGTACATCCATATATCCCTATTTTCAGTTTTTCCACAGGACAAATTTCAAAACTCCCTCATTCATGAGAAATTGTTTGGTTCTTTATATTTTTTTAAAAAATAAAATAGTATAGCCGAACGGCTATACCCGATTTTTAAAAAATTTTGTATTTTAGTATAGCCGACCAGCTATACTCAGTTTTTTATATTTTCATTTAAAAATAGTATAGCCGCGCGGGTATACTTGTCTTGATACAAGATCACGAGGATCTTTTTATATAGGGTTATTCGCAGCAATGGTCCCTCAACTATACCCCAAGTTACACTTTGGTCACTCAATTAGGTCACTCAATTATGTGTATTCTCAGTGGGGCTTGGGCTAGAAGCAAATGGTGATGGAAGCACAGTTATAGCTAGCTTCTGGCCACCAACTGCAGAATGCATGGCAACACCACAAATGTACTATTTTCTCCTGGGGTTGCAGGCTTGATCACATCCTTTCCACTTGTTAATGGCTCACTGCCTAGTATTTGGTGAATACTAGGTTGATTTTCACCAATAGATAGCTCCGGCCATCCAAATTATGCCTTTTGCAACGCAAATGCTTTGGTTGCGTTTGTTTTTGCCTAGAAATCATGGAAAACCTAAATTTTGTGAATTCAATTTGCTTTTCTATCTTCAAAGATTCAACATGGTTTCTAATTAGATAAGATTTTGCCAATAATAATGTCTGCCATTTACGACAGCCCAAATGACATGTTAGTTAGGATTCACGGAGGAGCTGATGAATGCTTCTGGTTTGAGGAAGAACTGAGACATCTTAAGTACCTGTTTGAGGAACCAATAGCTTTTTACCAAAACATAAAAGAAAAAAAAAATCCCATTGTTTTTATTTTCCCACTTGGTAACATGATGACGTATTGAAAAAAACTCCATGAAGAAACTATGTCTACAAATGTTGTCAATGGCAACTTTGGTTGTAGAGGGATTATTAAAGTTAGAGCTGGAAAGGGCCACAAATACTTAAAATTTTGACTGAGGAAGGAAAATTATTATTTTTAAAATGGTTGAGAAAAATCAAAGTGAAAAAAAATAAATTAATGAGGAATTTTTTTTATTTTTTTTCTGTTTTTGGTTAAAAGCTAGGGGTTCAGTAAAAGTGAAAAAGAAATTTTTTTTTACAATAAAAAAAAAAATGACACATGTCACTTTGTGGTTAAGCCACAATAGAAGGTAAGGAGGGAAATATTGTCCTTTTTTTTTTTTTCCAGGGTCTCTCAACAAAAATATTTAATAAAAAATTTGCACACTTGAAAGTGACAATGTTTTTGGCCAAAAAAAAAGTAAGACTTTAAAAAATATATATATATATAATGACTTTTTTAAAAATATATAATACCAAACACTTGTATAAAAATTATTTCAACATCATATCATTTTTAGTCATTATACATAGCTCACAGTTATTTTACACAAACATTTACCAAACACTCTTAAATTGATTTTTGTATCAAAATCACTTTTAATATAAAGTTTACCAAACGCCAAACTGCTTTCATTGACATCTGATTTCTCTTACAACAAATTTGAAAGTAATTATTTTCATAGCACAACAATCCCAAACTCTCCCTAAGTTTCTTTACAATAGCCGACTAAGAGAAAGAGAAAGCTTCACGGATCCTTGATGTTCTATGATTTTTGACGCATCTATGCCGATATGGTCATCCTTTGGCAGATCTATTGGTTCCTTTCCACTTGCAGGCTTGATCACATTCTTTCCACTTGCAGGCTGCACATTGATGGAAGTCAATCCTACTCACTTTGACCACATTGTGGACTCCTCCTGGATAATAAAAAACTGCATATATAAACCAAATTGAAAAATCATGAATTAGTTTCCAAACACTCACGGTGTATAAATATATATGTTATTACCAGAATTTTTAATTATGATAATTTGATTTAGTGGCATTCAAATTGAAAGTATCTTGACTTTAAATATCATGATACGATAGTTGTCGTTGAATGAATTAAAACAAGTATATATGTATGTGAAGAGCTTGATTTACCAAGACTGTCACCAACATAGAACAGCTTTCCCCGAGCCCAAGCTTGATAATCAAAGTTAATAGTCCAACCTTTGTTGTCACCAACAACATAATCTTTTGCCAAAGTTGAAGGGGCAAGGATTGCTAGAATGGGAAAGATAGTGAAGAGCTGGGAATAAGCCATTGTAACTAGTTTTGAGTTGGTTAGCTTCTTGATTCTATGAATTTGAGATGGTGATGAGCTCAATCCAATTGCTTGCCAAAATGAGTTGAAATGCATGCCCATTTATAGTGTTTGGCCTTAGCATATAGATGATTTGATTATTAATTTGAGACTTATAGGACTTGTAAGTCGTATTGGGTGATTTTATGTAAACTAGTAAGTTATTTGTAGACATCAACACCCAAAAATTATTGTCTCAAATTTTCAACTTCGCCGGCTTCATGCTTTGGTCATGATTTGAAAGACTTGAAGAAACAACTACAAGTATATACTTGATTTACCAAGTTTGTCACCAACATGAAACAGCTTGCTTCGAGCCCAAGCTTAGTAATCAAAGTTAAAAGTCCAACCTTTGTCCTGACCAACGATACAATCGCTTGCCAAAATCGAAGGGGCAAAAATTGGTAGAATGTTTGTACTTTCTTTACCAATTTGCATAGTTTGGCAGTCAAGTTTACACATTATAGTATGGCGGTTTGCTTATAGGATTAGTCCTGAGTTTTCCGAGACTCGAGGTGAAAACGAAAAATGAGCCCCCACACTCAAAATTTAACAATAAAAAAATAAATAAATAATCCTTGTATACAATTTATTTACTTGAATAAATTTCTTGTTTTTATAAAGTAAATTAATTTTGTAACATATACTTATAAAACATGAATTAATTGTTGATCCTTGAACATTAGAGACATTAAATACTAAAATCTTTACCAGTGTATCATCATTCAGATCAACAAAGAAAAAACTTATGACAAATTGAAACTTGATTGGTTAGATATTTCTATTGTTGCAACTTAAAAAAATACATTTTATCATATGTTCTTATTCTTTCTATACTATAATACAAATAATAAAAAATTACATTCATATTTGTCATTGAGTTTTAAATGAGGGGCCCAAACTTATTGCCCAATAATTTTTATTTCTTGTGGAGCAAATTATGGTAGTTTTGATTGCCAAATGGCAAATGGTTGGACTTCAAGGGCTCTTTTATGCCTTAAATTTCAAGGTTTTCGCCATCCCCAGTTCATGTTGGCAAATAAAGCATTCTTTGGCCACACAGGTACCAACATATATTTGGCAAGGAAAGATATTGTTGCAACTTGTGATGGAGCTTAAACTGAATTTTTACGAGTCAAGAAGATTTTTAGGTGTCACTGGCTGTATACAATTATGTGCTTCTTTCTCTTTAGAGAGTGAATTTTGATATGTGCTACGTATAAATGTATCATTTGGCCAAGATTCAAATTATAAATATTATGGAAGAATAATCCAGATAATAATGTTTACAATAGTATCACATAACCTGTTAAAACTTAAAACTCACACCTAATAACAGGAAAATAAGTAAATAATTAATTAAATACTGATCCAAAACATCAAGCCATGAGCATCCCAAGAAAGCCAATAGTAAGAAGCATCATCAAAGCAAATCTTGTTCCAACAGTTGTAGTTGCTGCAGATGCACTGGGGCCTGGCCCAGCTGTGGCACTAGGCCATGAGCTAGGGCTTGGACTTGGAGCAGATGAAGATGGAGATGGCAGCACAGTTATAAGAAGCTTTTGGTTCCCCAATTCACAGTGCTGGCCAACACCACAAATGTACCATTTTCTCCCTGGGGTTGCAAGGTTGATCACATCTTTTCCACTTGTTAATGGCACACTATCTAATGGAGCTGCACATTGTTGAAATCCAGTGCCGTTCACTTTGAGAACAGTGTGGGCACCTTTTGGATAGTTAAAAACTGCATAAAACCAAATCACATAAGAAAATATTGAGTTCGTTCTCATACAAATAATTTTATTAAAAAAAAGCTAAGTTTGGCAACGGAAAATTAAATTACCAAGATTGTCACCAACATAAAACGACTTTCCCTGAGCCCAAGCTTGGTAATCGAAATTAATCGTCCAACCTTTATCGTCACCAACGACATAATCTGTTGCCAAAACTGAAGGGGCAAAAATTGCTAGAGTGACAAGGGTGATGTAGAGATTGGAAGAGGCCATTGATTGCAGCTACTAGCTAGTATGGGAGTAAGTAGTTTCTTTTCTTTTTCTTATATGAATTTGGTTATTTTGCTTTTCTTTTTTAGGGTCGGAATGAATGTGTTTTGAGATAAGGAGGAGCTCAATTGATTTGCTTGCCAAAATAAGATGAAATGCTGCCAATTTATAAGGTCTGGTCTAGCCACTGGCCAAGGTCGGCACTAACTCTGCCTAATGGCACGAAAGTATTTGGGTTGAGCTTAGATTTATAGAATAGTAATATTTTGTTGGAGCTAGTCAAAAACACTTTACAGTCGGGCTCTTTTATTTTGTATGACCAAGTTCTATGAAGTTACTGGTGGCCTGCCTGCCTGCCTCCCCACTCCATAAGAAAACTTCTTAACGCGTATAAGGTGGTATTTTTCCCCAGCATCAATTATTTGCCTTGTCGTATATGGTCTTGTCTCTAACTTTCTTAATTGAATGCAAGGAGTTTGTAATTCAAGTACAAGTAGCTATCACTGCACTTGAGGTTCTGTGATCGAATCTTCCAATCTAAATATCGATTGCACAAAAAAATAA